ACTCAGCTTTTTTAAAAAGTAGGATAAGACATTATGAAATATGGTTTGCTCAGGCTTTAAGACTGAGTAGTGTTTCGTAATAATCTATACCAAACTGAGATTTAGTGTTAAATTGCAGCTCCTATCGTCTTAACATGGTCTCTCTCTTTGAATGCTCATCAGGCTCTCCATGCAGCAATATGTGTGACCTTTACATGATGAACCATGTCAGGCCACAGTTCTGACATATCGTTTTGTCTTGGGAGTCATTGGAAAGAGGCTCAACTCTCTTCAGTGCAAGAATGCATGACAGAGTTCTGGGGTTTTTGAAAGGCCACTATCCATTTTCAGAACATTTAACAAGCAGCTAGGAGACATTGTATTTGCTTGGCCCCATGAATCACACCTGTCCACCCACATCATCCCCCTTTATTTGCTCTAATGTGTTCTTTGGAAAATCTTTTATCTGTGTGTTGACTCCAATATTTATTTATCTATTTAAAGGGTTTAGGTTAGTTCAATCACTATGAACTTCACTTTTTCTGACATTTCCCAATTGCTTGTAATGTTGGTGATGTAAAGAACTGAGCCTTCTTCTGTTGCACTGAGGGATGCGGGTAAGAGCACTAGATACATTTGTAAATTCAAATGTTTTTAAACATTTTGAATGTGAAATAAATAAATTTGAGTTTCTCCTTCTAGGCAGTTTATGTTGTACAAATGCACTGTGAAAAATCACAACCGGATACAATGTCTAAGACATGGCCAAAATGTTTGTTTTAAACAGAATATGAAGAAGTAACAGTTCTGACATTATGTCAAAGATGTATATCAAAGATGTATAGTGGGCGATGGACTGATAGTATAGCTCAGCTTCTACATGCCGTCACTGCTTCTCTGATGCCCAAGCTCCCTCTCGCTCCTCCTCCCACTTGACACCTCTCATGTCCCTGCCTGAAGTGCCTGCTGAGTCTTCGTTGTCCGTGGAGTCAGAGTCCTGACCTGCTGCTGTAAATAACCTCAATAGTGTATTCCAAAGCGGTGTTTGGTGTCCGTCATGGCCATGACTTGGAGGCTGTTCCATAGAACGCTTACCCTCCTACAGTCCGGGTGTCCAATCTTGGCCTCAGTCAGGTAATAGCACTGCTAAGTTAGCTCCATGGCTAACTGAGCTAACTAGCTAATGGCAGTTAGCAAATTCAAATTTTGTCTCAGTTGCTCAATTTGTTGTTGTTTATACAAGCTAAAAGTTGCAAGGGATCCGGGAAAGTATAATGTAAGCAATTAAAATATGCAATTGATGTGAAAAATATATTACTACATAAATATCACCCTTTCACAAAAGTCTAGAAACAATAACTTAAACTCTGGTCTTCATAAGTACAAATTAGGACACATTAGTATGCATGTTTGCACACTAGTAACAGGAAGCTTCATATTAACTGTTTTAAGCTAGAAGTGTTAGCTAGCAACTTAACAGTTTGAAGTCCCATTGTATGTTTTTATAGTAAGCAACATGGAAGAGAATGGGAAGGAGCTACCTAATTGGCTACAGATAATTCCCCGTTGAAATCAAGCTATGCAGGGCAGTCTCAACACACCCACAGGCAGCAGTATGTCTCCTTTTTTCCAGGATGTCTCCATGCTCATTCACATTCTCCTTATACATCCATGGGCATACTTGGAAAGACATCAGTAGAACCCAGTTGTAGCAATCAGCGGTTTGACTGCAGCATGGATTGTTGTATTGTTTTTATGTGACCAGATGGCAAATTATTTTTCCGTAGTGATGAGGGCTAATATTTTTTCTATTGCAATCTCTCAAAAGATACTGAGAAATTAACGTGATAGAGAAGTGAAGTAATCTGAATGTCTGTGAAGATTCTCAGTCATCCAGGTCATAGTTATCTAAGGAAGGTTAAAATCAAGGGCAACTGGACTTGGTTGGAGTTATATGGAAGCGTACAGAGGACTAATTTCAAATTATCATGCAAACTTGAAAATGAAAAGGGAATCCCACAATAACATTATCATTTTCCACACATATATGTGTTATTTAGGTAAAAATTAAAATGAAAATGCAATCATTCAATTTTCATTTTCATTTTCACACACTTGTGTGGGCATTCTAGGTCCATATTGAAATGAAATTGGAAACTGCATTTGACATTTCATTTTCAAAGACTTACTCTGCTCTATAGTGAACTTTATTCAAATGCATTTAGCAAAACAGCTCCCCCAGTCTATTGCATTTACATGTCCATGTCCTTATGGTCTTTTTAGGTCAAAATTAAAATTAAAATGCCATTTTCTAACTATGTGAAAATGAAAATGAGAACAGCATTTGACTTTTAATTTTCAAAGACATACTCTGCTCTATAGTGGACTTTATTCAAATGCAATGAGTGAAACAGCACCCCAGTCTATTACATTTGTTTTTCCATTTCACCATAGTCTTTTTAGGTCAAAAATCAAAGTGAAATGCAATTTTCTAACTATGTGAAAATGAAAATGAGAACTGCATTTGACATTTCATTTTCAAAGACTTACTCTGCTCTATAGTGGACTTTATTCATATGCAATGAGTTAAACAGTGCCCCCAGTCTATTGCATTGCATTTACATTTACAAGCAGCTTTCCAAGGGACACAATGCAAATGAAAATGCAATCTGTCAGTCCTCTCATCAAGGCTGGTCCTCAGTTAAGACATCACTTCCTCTTCCATTTGGAAGGCCACTTCAGGTTCTCATGGTTCAGTAGTGTGTCTACTATTACACAACACTAGGCTATAACAACAATAATAACAATAATCAAATGAAACCTGTTGACTGAACAGCTTAAGGCTGAATCTATACCGACTTCAAACTTGTAATCTGTAAGTTCTGCCATTTTTATGTTGCTTTTTTTTTTTTTAACACTTACCTGTTGAACTTGTCGTTACCAAGTTCTGCAGCTAACGTGCCTAACTGTAACGTCAGCTGTATCTAGTGTGTATTGTGACATTAAGCCCACATGCCGTAGCCTGTATGTGTGTCTGTTACTGCGGTAGCCGATCAAAGTTTACCTGATGGATGCATGGCACGTGTAAAAAACAAACGGTAAATTGCTTGGCACCATTGTGTAACCTTCTGCTTACGTTAACTTGCTTATACCTGAAAGCTTTAACATCAGTGTTTCCTGCAAATACAGGCCAGCAGAGGTGTTTCCTGCCAGGCTGACAGAAGACAACAGACGACTCCTCACTCCTCCTTAAGTACAGGTTTGTACTTAGCCGTTTACCTAATGTCAATACTGCTATTAACAGTGGTTCTTTGTTGTTTCTTCGTGTATTTTTCTGTAATATAAGCTAAGAATTATTTCCCACTTTTACCACAAGAGGGAATATACTGTTTAGTTAGTCATTTTAGTAGTCACAAAACGGTAGAGCATTGCTGTAACATGGGTCTGAATAGACCGTGTGCTGGTAACAAGCTACTGATCTGCTTGTTATGTTGTAGTTAAGCAAACATAACTCTCACTCCCCAAGTACAGGTGTGTACTTAGCTGTTGACCTCATGCCAGTACTGATATTTATGTCTCTAACACGTTGTTAGCTTAGAATCTATGCATTAACTCTCACTTTAAATATACATTGTCTTATTTTTGTCTTTACAGGTATCCTGTATTTGGGAGAAGTGGTGTTAAAAGATCAGTGAAGTAGAAAGTATTTGCTAGTAGATAGAGAAGTAATGTATGTAAACACGGAGGCCTACAGTTATTGTTAGGGTGGGGGTGTCAAGTAAGATTTAAAAAAAACAGTAGATGTGAAACTATAGTCAAGTACTTTTCTGGTAAAAAGACAGATATTAAACAAACAGAAGTATAGCGCTTACTGTAGCCACCTCTTGTTTTATACACATTACTTAATGAAGCAGAAATGAGTGCAGCAGACATGCTGTAAGTTAACCATTTCAGCACAAGTGAAGGTTACTGATCTTACAAAGTCTTATGCACTTTCTCCTCACTTCTCTTCCTATGTACTCACTAACCAAAGTATCTGCAGCTACTGTACGGACTGTACTGTGTCCATGTTTCATAGAAATTTGGATCTTTTTACAAGCTGTTTGTCCTAGAATGCCCACACAAATATGAAAATGAAAACTGGATGATTGCATTTTCATTTTTACCTAAATAACACATACATATGTGGAAAACGATAATGTTTTGCCTCTCATCCAAGGGGCTCTTTCAGTTCTTCAACCAAGTCCAGATGCCTTTGATTTTAACCTTCCTTGGATTTTTCTGTTTTGGTTTAAAAAAACATAAATGCTGTTTTTTTGTATTGAAGGAGAAAAATCAAAGAACAAACCATCAGTGTTGGGCAAGCTACTTGGAAAATGTAGAGAGCTAAGCTACTAGCTACTCTACATTAAATGAAGCTTCGCTACACAGAAGCTACTCCCCAGTGAAATGTAGCAAGCTAAGCTACAGCAACGTGGCAAAAGTAGCTTAGTTACATCTAAGCTACTTTAAATTTATTTAAATTTTATAGTTAGGTTCATTCCACAGTAGCAATAGAAGAAAGACTAAAAACCTGCTCCAAACAGTGTGCGAGAGAAAGCTAAATCAGACACACAGAAACTCTCCTACTTAGTGCCATATCATTGCAGCTAAATGTATTTCCTCACGCAACAAACGGAGAACCATTGTTGTTTGTATAAAGTAACTTAATTATCACATTATTAATTAATTATATATTTTTTATTGTTTATATGTGAATTTGTGCTCTGGCAACATTGCGACCTAAACGTTTATGGCAATGGGTGAGAGAGAGATCTCTCATCTCATGGAAACAAGTTTCTGCCACTACATATAAAAGTTTTCTCCTCACTAGAGCTGTCCAGGCTGGACCCTGATCCTTCTCACAAGAGGTGTTAACTATATACTACAATAACTATAACAATAGAAAGTAAACTCAATCGCGCGTGTCTTTATCCCCCTGCTGCAAATGTAGCGTGTGTGGAAGCTACCGTGCTACTCGGTCAATAAAAGAGCTTCGTTACTGCTTCGTTTCTGTCCGGTGGTGAACGTGCAGTGTGGGTCACAGTGTAGCTGTAGGTGGGGGTCTGTGGTCTCCCTGGCTGCGGGGAGGGGGGGTGGGAGAGGTTGGCGCCAGCTGGCATCTCTCTCCTGTTGGTGCCCTGACTGGATGCTTGGTGGTTGTACGGGGGATCCTGTGTGGAGAAGGATTGTGCTTTGGGGTGTGTCGATGGTTGTTTTGTGGTCGAGTCGCGGTCCTCTGGATCGTGGTCGGGTTGAGTCGTGGGGTGCCGGGAGATTCCTGTCCCTAGGGCTGAGGGGCTGTTGCTGCTGTCGCGGGGTGACTGCTGTCTCTTTTCTTTGGGGACGATGGGGGTGTGTGTGTGGGATGCTTCGCTGCTAGGGAGGGAAGGGTGCGGGGGTGGTGGTCTTCTGGCCTGGCCTGGCCTGAGTGGCATTGCTTCCTGGGTGTGGGCGGGCTTTCAGGTCTGGGCCCTAGGGGCTGTTGGGCCGTTCTGTCCCTGGACGGGGTCCTTATCGCTCCGGACCTGCTCCCTTGTGGGGGTGAGGGGGTTGTGCCAGCTCCGGGGGTGGGGGACAGGACTGAATGATGGGGCCAGTCAGGAATCTAGACCCAGTGGGGAGGACCATTCTAGCCTCCCTATGACCTCATTCACCCTTTGGTCATTTCTCACTACATACACCCTTAGGACTCTGGGGGGCGGGCAGGCTGCAGGGCGTTTGTTGGGTGGGGCTGCTTTATTGCGGCCTCGCGCTTCTTCCTCCCCCACTGGCGGCCCCTCAATTTTAATTACAGTGGGAGGCTCCACTACCTGACAGTTGTGGGGTGTCTGTGTCGCAACTACCCTCCAATTTTGACTGCACCCTAGTTACCACACACCTTATCTTTACTCCACCATACAACACTTCACAATCCATGACATGCATCCAACACAAAACAATACATTTACAGAGGCAGGCAGGGGGGTTGAAGGAGTGGGGGGATTCTCATTGGCCTCGTGTCCTGCCTCTGGAGCCCCTGGGCGAAATGTAGTTAAACTAGTAATGGCCCTACTTGTAGCGACGCTACTGCCCAACACTGCAAACCATACACGTGTGGGGAGTTAAATGGCATCAATAGTTACATGAAATAGTAGTATAATTATTATTATGTATAGCTATGTGAAGCTATATACTTCCCAGGTACATTACCAGTCCATTAGGGAAGAAGTTGCTTTGGTGTTCTACTTGTTAGTTGGCAATTCCATTGTGGGTTAGCCAGGCAGGGAAGAATGGTTCCATTGTCAGTATTTTTTCTGTGCCATGTTCTGATTGTGCAGATGGTGGAACCTGTCGCTCTGTCTGTTCTCCTTGGCGCTAAGCTACTTAATGCTGTTGCAGCTTGTTACAGTTGGCTGTTTATGCTAACTAAACTTGATCCGGCATCCAGCAAGCTCTTGTGGCGCTACTGTAAGATCAGAGAGTTCGTTTCTGCTGCGTGGCTGCTCCAAGCAGGACACGCTGGAAGATAACTGCTGCTGTTGGCAGTTGCAGTGGATGAATCCTGGAGAAAAGAGAGAGAGAACAGGAAGTGAGCTGAGGTTCTGTTCACCTGGTAATGTCACGGGTCATAGGTCACACTGGCCTATGTAGCTAAAAGCTGGGTCTATGGGTGGAGGTCAGTGGCGTGTACAGACATTTTCAGCTAGGGTGGCAAAAGTAGGCCCTGACTTGTGCAGGGGTGGCATGAAGTACATTCACATACACACACACACACACGTCGAAATAGCATTCCTTTTCATTTCTGTCTCCACTGCTCATATCTACTTTAATACAAACACAGTTTTATGCATTACATTTTCTTTCTAGTGCCACCCAATTCCATGACCCTGGTGGAATTCATACATAGGTGTAATTTGGCGATTGTGGGAAACTGAGTTCACTGGCTCACGTTTCATAATAAAAGTTCAGTTTAGATCACACAAATGAACAACTTCATCTATGGAGCTCCAGTGGCCCCAACACAAGGACAGAGATGTATTAAAACAATGCATGCTTTCATCTGCTTTAATATGACGTGAAGTAACTTTGACAAAAACATGAACCTTCAACTCAAACTATTCTCTTAAAGTTTATTTTCATAACATACTAAACATTAACTCAGATCACTGGCAAGTAGAAAATACTTGACAGTAATAATAATTATGTGATTTGTACTTTAATGACCCAAACTATGCAAAAACTCCTGTGCAGACCTTGAATTTTGAAGTACTATCAGCACATTCTTGTGTTCTGATTCTTGCTGCCGGATGCAGCACACAAGTCATTTATTTTGAGTGTGAGAAAAAGACATTCGGAAACCTTGAGCTTCTTGAAAAAGTGTGGAAGCGTTGGCGTGTTTAAAAGAAAAAGACATTCGCTTCAAAGTCGAACAATGATCTCGTTCTGTGTCAAAGCACCAGCACGACATCAAAAAACAGAAGAAAAAAAATCAGCAAACAGAATTGCACATACTTGTTCTTGACACTTTTGTGATAAGTCATCACTCGACACTTACAGATAACAGAAAGTGGAAATGTATTCAAAATCCACACAAGTGCGATGGTAGCATTATAAAAAATCTCTTTCTCAGTCAGTGCTACAGATCTATATTGTAGGATGTTTTCTCTCTCTTTCTGCACAATATTTACTGAGGAGTTTGGAAATGTCTCTCGAATTGCTAGGCTATTCACTGTAAGTGAACATGTCCTAAATGATTGATTACCGTCTGATTCAGTCTATTACAGTTTTTGTATACATCAAGATCACACTGCGGATGGATGCCTTTGTGTTTTGGTGCGTGTTGATTCGTCTTATTCTGTTTGTAAATTCAGTTTTCTGCTGTGACACTCGGAGCTCTTTCACCAGAGAACAGCTCATGGACATCATGGAAACAACACTAGCGGATTTATTTACCACTTAAGTGGAAGTATTGCACATTCTGGTCAGAGGTGCTCTCACCTTTGCTCATGCAGTGAAACCCCGGAGGAGAGGGAAACGTGCCGGTGCACTTGTGCATCTTTGCCTGGGGGGGGGGACGTGTGATTTTGACTTTGTGACTTTAGCAAAGGTAATCTCAGCCATGAACTCCCCAAATACAGAAAGTTTATGAAAAGCCCAACCAGAGAGGATAATATTCTAGATTGCTTCACACAGGCAGAAATTAAAGCTTTGTTAACCTGCTGTCAGGATATCAAAGCAGTGGACACAGAGACGGTGATTGCCTGTAATCTGCCATCTCACCAGGACCTGTACGCCTCCAGGACTCTGAGACGAGCAGGAAAGATTGTGGCTGACCTGGCACCACAGACACAAACTGTTTCAGACCCCTGATTCTGAACTTTGATATTAGAGTCATTTACGAACCTCCTCTGAAGATGAAAATATACCTGTCTGAATCTTATGGCCCTTGACATATTTCCCATAGTTTTCTTCCTTTCTGTGTATAAAGCAAGATCGTTAAACTGAATTGATTCAGACTGAATATTGTTGATAGACTAGTTTCAGTAGTCAAACAGCTTTGATGCTGTGAAACTCAAAGGCTGACAATTCCAGCAGAGCTCACTGTAAGTCCCAGTTATGTCAGCAAACATTAATAATCCTCTTACATTTTGAACCCTTGTAGTGCAACTTGTCATGCATTTCGAGTGATTCTTTTGTTGGCTTACTATAGCTTTAGTGTCCTTGCCAACCACAAGCCATTACGCTGTGATGATTTTACATGCTGATGAGCCTTGTTATGTGTTTTATTTTTCTCAGATTTCAAGGGGGCGGGTGAAGCAATTCAACTGTAAATTACTGTACTGCCACAAGAAAAGACCTATTAAAATGTTTTGTGATTCATTTTGCCTAATTTACCAAGCAGGTGACAGGCTGGCCGAGTGTTGTTTTGAAGGCCCAATAATAGACCATTTTCAACTGTTGTCTCTCCCAGGACATCATTTTGAAACATGCTAAAATGAGCATTGTGTCTTTGACAGATAATCCATCTTTGGGGTGGTAATATTTTTCTGAGAACAAAAACGTGAAATAGCCATATACAGTGGGTACGGAAAGTATTCAGACCCCTTTAAATTTTTCACTCTTTGTTTCATTAGCCATTTTCCAAAATCAAAAAAAGGTCATTTTATTTCTCAGTAATGTACACTCAGCACCCCATCTTGACAGAAATGTAGAAATTTTTGCAAATTTATTAAAAAAGAAAAACTGAAATATCACATGGTCATAAGTATTCAGACCCTTTGCTGTGACACTCTATTTAACTCAGGTGCTGTCTATTTCTTCTGATCATCCTTGAGATGGTTCTACACCTTCATTTGAGTCCAGCTGTGTTTGATTATACTGATTGGACTTGATTAGGAAAGCCACACACCTGTCTATATAAGACCTTACAGCTCACAGTGCATGTCAGAGCAAATGAGAATCATGAGGTCAAAGAACTGCCTGAAGAGCTTAGAGACAGAATTGTGGCAAGGCACAGATCTGGCCAAGGTTACAAAAAAATTTCTGCTGCACTTAAGGTTCCTAAGAGCACAGTGGCCTCCATAATCCTCAAATGGAAGACGTTTGGGACGACCAGAACCCTTCCTAGAGCTGGCCGTCCGGCCAAACTGAGCTATCGGGGGAGAAGAGCCTTGGTGAGAGAGGTAAAGAAGAACCCAAAGGTCACTGTGGCTGAGCTCCAGAGATGCAGTCGGGAGATGGGAGAAAGTTGTAGTAAGTCAACCATCACTGCAGCAATCCACCAGTCGGGCTTTATGGCAGAGTGGCCCGACGGAAGCCTCTCCTCAGTGCAAGACACATGAAAGCCCGCATGGAGTTTGCTAAAAAACACCGAAGGACTCCAAGATGGTGATAAATAAGATCCTCTGGTCTGATGAGACCAAGATAGAACTTTTTGGCCTTAATTCTAAGCGGTATGTGTGGAGAAAACCAGGCACTGCTCATCACCTGTCCAATACAGTCTCAACAGTGAAGCATGGTGGTGGCAGCATCATGCTGTGGGGTGTTTTTCAGCAGCAGGGACAGGACGACTGGTTGCAATCGAGGGAAAGATGAATGCGGCCAAGTACAGGGATATCCTGGACGAAAACCTTTTCCAGAGTGCTCTGGACCTCAGACTGGGCCGATGGTTTACCTTCCAACAAGACAATGACCCTAAGCACACGGCTAAAATAATGGAGTGGCTTCACAACAACTCCGTGGCTGTTCTTGAATGGCCCAGCCAGAGCCCTGACTTAAACCCAATTGAGCATCTCTGGAGAGACCTGAAAATGGCTGTCCACCAACGTTTACCATCCAACCTGACAGAACTGGAGAGGATCTGCAAGGAGGAATGGCAGAGGATACCCAAATCCAGATGTGAAAAACTTGTTGCATCTTTCCCAAAACGACTCATGGCTGTATTAGATCAAAAGGGTGCTTCTACTAAATACTGAGCAAAGGGTCTGAATACTTATGACCATGTGATATTTCAGTTTTTCTTTTTTAATAAATTTGCAAAAATTTCTACATTTCTGTTTTTTTCTGTCAAGATGGGGTGCTGAGTGTACATTACTGAGAAATAAAATGACCTTTTTTGATTTTTGGAAAATGGCTGCAATGAAACAAAGAGTGAAAAATTTAAAGGGGTCTGAATACTTTCCGTACCTACTGTATATAGTCAAACAGCGAGCCGATGCAGGACTTCATTCACTGAACCCTGGATTAATATTGCCTCTTTAGGAGCCATGCTCAATCGTTTTGTGTTGCTTCACTATTGGTTCACTCTTGTTAAAATTGGGTTCCCAATTTCGGCTATTTTTAAATATTATTGTATAATTACAACCCCCTAGCTAAGTTTACAGTTAGCCAATGTGCTGCCCCTGTCTTGCATCTCTCGTGGCTAGCAGAAAGCAATTGTTAGTTCTAAGCCTACAACAGAAATGTACTCATCAACGTCGGAAAGGGACGCATAGGGATTGGATTAAAGGGAATATATGTAGTTTTTCAATGAAATTACTTATTAATAAATCACTTTTTACTTCCTTTTTGCCAATGGGCTGTAGCCTCACTTACAAATGAACCACACACCTGTTTTCTCTGTTGCTTGAACCAGCAACAGAGCAACGGTTCAAAAATTGGCAAGTTATTAATGCCTGGTGCACACTAGGGGATTTTCAAATCAAATTAAAATGTGGAATACCACAGACATAACGTCAAAATTAACTGATTTTTTAATTTTAATATTAAGAACACACACACCAGACGATCAAATCAAGACGCAGGACCACACACTTGGCATTTATACTAAATCATTTCAGAGTGGTGATTCCTCGGACTTGGGATCT